TGGGGCAATGCCATTCTTTCTGATGGAGGCATAGAATTCCATTGTGTATCTATACCACATTTTCTTAATCCATTCATCTACTGAGGGGCATCTGGGTTGGTTCCATATCTTAGGTATGGTAAATAAGGCTGCAGTAAACATAATTGTGCTGGTAGCTCTAGTGTGGTCTTGTTTGTGAACATTTGGTAAATGCTCAAAAGTGGGATTGTTGGGGCATAGGGGAGCTCTATGTGGAGTCTTTTGAGGAACCTCTGTACTACTTTCCAAAGTGGTTGAACAAGTTTACACTCCCACCAACAATGTAGTAAGATTCCCTTCTGTCCACATCCCCTCCAGCATCTGTTATTAGAGTTCTTGATTATAGTCTTTCTAACTGGGGTGAGGTGGTATCTCGATGTTTTGTTTTGCATTTCTTTTATGGCTAGAGAGGTTGAGCATTTCTTCATGTGTCTATTGGCCATCCTTCTTTCCTCTTCAGAGAAGTTTCTCTTTAAGTATTTAGCCCACTTATTTATTGGGCAGTTGTTTCTTTGAAGTTGGTTCTTCGAAAAAATTAACAAAATTGACAGACCCTTAGCAAATCTTATCAGAAAAGAGAACACACCTAAATAAATAAACTCAGAGATGAGAATGGAAACATCACCACAGAAACAACCAAGATTCACAACATTATAAGGGAATACTTCTCAAACCTTTATGCTCATAAGTTTGAGAACTTGGCAGAAATGGACCTTTTCCTAGCAAATATTGACATGCCAAAACTAAACCAAGATGAGTTAAACCATCTTAACAGGCCCATATCAAGCATTGAAATAGAAACAGCAATAAGAGACCTCCCATCTAAGAAGAGCCCAGGACCAGATGGTTTTACAGTGGTATTCTAAAAGGCCTTCAAAGCATAACTCACACCAATACTCCTTCAACTCTTCAATGAAATTGAAAGAGAAAGTTCACTACCGACTCATTCTATGAAGCCATCATAGCCCTCATCCCAAAACCAGGCAGGGACTCATCAAAGAGAGAGAACTATAGACCCATTTCTTTGATGAACATTGATGCAAAACTTCTCAACAAAATTTTGGCCAGTCGACTTCAACAATTCATCCAAAAAGTCATACACCACGATCAAACAGGATTCATTTCAGGGATACAAAGCTGGTTCAATATATGCAAATCAATTCATCACATCAACAGGAGCAAGGATAAGAACCACATGGTTATCTCAATAGATGCAGAAAAAGCATTTGACAAGATCCAACACCTTTATTTCATGATTATTAAAAGGCTGGAATGTAAGGTCCGCTCCTGGATGATGAGCAGACTCCACCCTCCTCGCAGCAAAGTTTCCACCCAGTACCTGTGTTACCTAGGCAACTTGCACACCTGGAAGAGGTCACATCTGCATCTGCTGAGGTCACATCTGAATTTGCTATGGCCACGCCTTTCTTCACCCATACCCTAGATAAGGCCTAGCCAGGTCTAGATGCTCTCTTTTCCAGCTCTTTCCCAGGTCTCTTTCTCAGGCCTTTCCCAGTCGCGTGGAGGGCCAACATGACCTGGTGCCAGCCAGAATGATGAATAAACCTACCCCTTACTTGAAAAAAAAAAATCCCAGTGTGTGCTCTTTGGTCAAGAGACAGGCTACTCTATAGGGAGAGAGTCAGGGAACCTATTCTGTCCCATAGATGTCCCATGGGTAAGATCCAATGGAAAGCCCAAAGACAGAGGAGGCTTTTGATCTTGGCCATACAAGTGGGCCTCTGAGGGAAGCCATAGTATTAAGATGTTTGAGAGTGGAAAGGAGGAACACTCGATCTATGAAAAGTGCTGCCATCCGAAGGTGGAGCTATGAAAAGTGTTTGCCATCCAAAGGTTCATGTACTAGAAGTTTCATCCCCAGTAGTAATTACAAGGTGTTAGGTTATGGAGGCTCATCCTTATAAATGAACTAATGCTGTATCAAAAGAATGAATCAGAAAAGCTTGATGTGGTGGTGACCATCTGTTACCCAACACATGGAAGACTAAGAAAGGAGGGAGGGTCATGAGTTCAAAGACACACTGTGTACCATGAGTTTAAGCCAGCTTGAGGCATATAGTAAGAACCTGACTTTAAAGAAAAAGTGGGTAAGTGGGTCAGATATTGTGGGACTGGATTTAGTGTCTCATAAGAATTGTCACTGAGCCTGGCACCTCCACCAAATCCCTCTTCTGCACCCACTGCACACACCATTGTGACACTATCTACTACAAGACCATCACAGAGCCTAACACATGATAACAGCATGAACTTGAACATCAGTAACTGTGAGTTAAATAAACTTATATGTATAAACTACTCAGAACACATATTTTGTTATAGCAGTGCAAACTAAGAGAAGAGTTTCAAGAATGTGTCATTCTGGTTAAACTTAAGGAGAAAGAATATATCCCAGTTAGATTTTTCTAAGACCAGACTAAGAATCCAAAATCCTCTTAAAAGGAGAATTCAATAGTTCTGACAAGCCCATGTCTTAATTCTAGCTACTTTTCCAGAGCGTAGAGAGATTTTTGTAAGCATAAAGCCATCTCAGAGTTCACATGAGTAATTCAGAAATGTTTTGGCTGCTCTCTCTCTGCTGTTCTTAAAAAAAAAAAAACTCGTGTATATTCACCAATTTTATTAAATACTTTTAGTAATTTACATAGATATAATTAACAATTCAATGTAATAAATAACTTCAGATAAATAATTTAAAATAAGCCATTTGAGAGCCCGTAGGGCTTACAAAAAGAATCTTAAAAGATCCATATTTATCACCTAAGACTAAGAAAAATAGTTGCAAAAGGTAGTAAACCATATATTCAAAATAAATATAAATTTTAAATATTTAAATAAATAGGACACTTTTAAATGGGAGGCACAAAATGATCAAGTAAGTGTTGAGATGATGCCTTGACAAAAGATAATCCATCTGTTCAGAAATTCTACAATGGTTGCTGTCTTGTCTTCATAGTCACATATGAATGTTTCAGATCCCTATAAAAGAAAAAAGTACTTCAAATTTAGAACAGTTTACTTTATGCATGTATATTCCCAACTGAAGCCATAAAGGCTTATGCATTTACTTTCAAGCTTGTTAAACATCAGTCATTCATATTTTCTTGAAATGACCACCAGATGATATTCAGGCTGATGATCATAACTCCTTTGTTAATCTCCCTATTAATTTACCAATTCTGCCAAAATAATTGAGGTGTTTTTGTCAGTTGGGTTTAAATGTTTAGAGGTCTAGACAAGTATTCAATACTGCAGGTAAAATGAAGTTGTTTGACCTCTCTCCTTCGGATATGGATTTATATCCCTATTGATACTGACTTAGGTTTTATGTATGATATGTCCATTTTGTTGTTGTTCTTAAGCTTTAAGAATCTTCTATTAAGCTGGGCACTAGTGGATCACGCCTATAATCCTAGCTACTCAGGAGGCTGAGATCTAAGGATCATAGTTTGAAGCCAGTCTGGGGAAGAAAAGTCTGTGAGACTCTTATCTCCAATAAACTACTCAGAAAAAGCCAGAAGTGGGGCTGTGTTCAAGTGGCAGAGTACTATCCTTGAGCAAAAAAGCTCAGGGACAGAGCCCAGGCCCTGAGCTCAAGTCCCAGGACCACAACACACACAAAAGAATCTTTTATTACTCTACTGAAATAAATCTTGTATTTTCTCCAAGTCAGGATAAAACTCACCACAGAGTACAAAAGGACAAGCTTTTGTTTGGGGGAATTTATCTGAAGCATGTCTTCATAAATAGCTCCACCCAAGCATCAATTGAGTTCCTACTTTTCTTAAGTGTAAACATTAGATATTTGTGCTGTAGATTGTTTTTCAGAAGTTTGTCTTTCCTGCTGAAAAGATAGTACAGCTCTACATCTAGCTAACAATGTATGAAGGAAATATTTTGATCTAAAAGATCAATGAGACACATGATTAAATCTGCAGTAATTCCTTACCAGTCAAGTGAGAATATGTTGTTTAATATAAATATTACTTTTAAATAATTAGTTGTAGCCAAGTGCCAGTGGCTCATGCTTGTATTCTTAACTACTTAGGAGGCTGAGACCTGAGAATTGAGGTTTGAAGCTAGCTAGGGCAGGATAGGCCATAAGTATCAATAATAAATTACCAAACAACTGGAAATGGAACTCTGTGGCTCAATTGGTAGATTGCTAGCCTTGAGCAAAAGAAGCTTAGGGACAGTGCCCAGGCCCTGAGTTCAAGCCTCAGGACCAGTACAAAAAAATTGTAATGTTATATACTTTTCACATATAGCTATTTAATTATTGTAATCTTTCTTTTAAAGTATGTGGCTTTTGAAGCACTCTCCTAATTTTCACATCGTTTTGTCTTACATTTGTACCATGAGTTTTCGATGGTGGCCAATGATTTTAGAGCAAACTGTTTCACATAGATGAGCTGAGTTGCCAGTGTCTACCTGATAGTTGGCCTCAGTATATTAAAAACATTTTTTAGGAAGTGGCGCTGTAGCTCAAGTGGTAGAGCACTGGCCTTGAGCTGAAGAGCTGAAGGACAGCGCCCAGGCCCAGAGTTCAAGGCCCATGACCAACAAAAAAAAAAAAAAACATTTTTTAACTGAAATGTGGCACTAATAAAGTGATTCTTATTGAAAACATCTTCAGTTGGCTTTAGAAACTTCCTCCTCCTAGTGTAACTAAAATTACGCTGTTTATTTATGATGCCTGTTAACTCCTGAATTTTGTACTTAGAAGGGTTGAAAAAAGAGCTTTGAATCTCTTTCTCACCTGAGTCCTGTCAAGCTTATTTCGGCTTCCCATGCAACTGAAAATACTCAAGGCCCTTAAAGTGGAGCTGAAATGAACCATTTACCTAGTCCTTTGTTCATTTTAGTGGCTTGCATTTTTTTGAGACAAATATCCTGTGGTTAGCCTTTTGGCCAAGGATGGAAAAGCCTTTCAGGTAATTGGGATTGGCAATTCAGATAAGTGATATGAAGGAATTGCAAAATATATAATGAAATTCATTTAATACTTTGTTTCACTTTGAGTTTCATGTTAATGTATGAATTGATAGAGTGTTGATATTGGGGCATGTCACAAAAGAAGATAACCCTCTACCTTAGCCACACAATGGATTAATGTGTCATCTAGCATTGAAAATGATTAATAGTCACAATGCACTTTTAAAATCTTGTTTAATCAAATACATGGATACTTCACTAATGCAAAAATGTTATGCTACTTTAAAATGCAGCACCTTTTCCCAGAAGAGCAATAATGTCTTACCTTTAGTTTCAGAACTGTAACATTGATATTGCTGATTAAATCTCTGCTGTCTTTCAAGTGGAAGTTGTTGCTTTGAGCTAAATTTAGCACCCCCTCCAGAGGTTTGAGTTCTTCTTCTAGGCACTGAAGATGCTTCAAATCTGTGGCCTACAATAATAATAAAAATTCTCAGCTAGTTTACCCTATACTAAAGGTCAGAATCAGATATTAATCTCCAATTTGTTAAAAGTAGCAATATATGCTTTTTTAAAAATCATTCTCCCTGTTCTCAGAATTGCTGTGCAGATGGACCAATATATTGTATAATATAAGGCTAGATAAGGGCTCAAATTTTGATGAGTTGTTACATCTTAATGAACCTTTATGAAAAAGTCAAATTTTCATATCCAAATGCAGACCTGTAGTTGTAGGCACAGAAATCATTAGAATCAGAGCAATCAGAATGTGGAAATAAAGAAATCATATTCTATTGATTCTAATATTTAAGAGTTGAGAGCAAAATGTTACAGGACAGAGTGATTTTATGCCATTTGACATAGTTCAAAATTTTTACATATTACATTATTACAGCCATGTAGTAATCTCAATATAGCCTATAGGAAGATATAGTTAACTGCATCTTAGATTTTTTACTTTTCGGCAATTATTACATTACTATAGCCATGTGGTATTTTCTTCTAAATGAGTTTACATGGTCCTTCCGAGATAAGCAAAGCAGTAATGTTCTCTCCATTTTACAGATAAGGAAACTAAAGCTCAGAATTTTCTGTTTTCCCCAAGGCCACGTGTAGGTAAAGCTGGGGTGAAACTTTAATTCTTTTTCGTTATAGCATTAATAACATTTTTAATTGACTTTTTATTTCTCAAATCTCGTTTATGTGGAATGGTGGTCAAGTGAACAAGTTAAATGGATTATCACAGTTTGAGTAGTTTGAGTTGGCATCTAGAAACTTAGATCGCAAAGAATTTCACCACCCTCTAAAATCACACACGTAATCTTGTATTATCTAAGAAATATTTTAGAGAAAAGTAGAGTCAGAGAGGATGTATTTCTATTTACTGCCCTTTCAAAAATTCTGCAAATTGAGGATTTCACTGTGACACACTCAATTTATTGATGAAGTTAAAACTTACATGACTCTAATGAGCTAAGAGAAGCACTTGCAATCAAAGAAAGCAGAAATGTCAACAGAAATCAATCTCTCCTGCCTTCCTTCCTGTCTTCCTGCCTTCTTTCCTGCTTTCCTTCCTTCCATTAGGGATTCTTTCACTCTTCCCTGCCTGCCTACCTGCCTTTTTCTACCCCAACACTGATGCTCTGTCACTTAAGCCACACTTGTGTGTGTGTGTGTGTGTGTGTGTGTGTGTGTGTACACGCACATGCCCGCATTCCAATATTGAGACAGTCAGGGCCTGGGTGCTGTGTCTGAGCTCTTTTGCTCAAGGCTAGCACTCTGCCTTTTGATCCACAGCTCTACTTCCTGCTTTTTGTTTGTTTGTTTTGAAGTTAATTGTAGATAAGAATCTCACAGGTTGTGTAAGCTGGCTGGCTTTCCACCACAATCCTTATAGCTCAGCAGAGGACTGCAGGTGTGAACAATAAGTGCCCCAGTAAAATGTTGTTTTTTTATTCCTTCTACCTCCCATCTCCTCCCCAGTGTTGGTGGGAGTGTTGATTTACATTGGGAAAAACTTTCTGACACACAGGTTTTGCTCATTGTCTATTAACTCTAGGAAAATTCATACCCCTGATGTAGGTCTACGAATTTAGGTGATCTGTTGCTTATCATGGGACTTTGTAAACCCCAGAACAACCAAATGAAACTTACTTAGAAAAAAAAATCACAAAGTTATATAAATCTAAAAATTTGTTTCATGCTTTCATCTAGCCATTGTCTTCACTACTACTAGTGGTATTTGCCAGACATTGTTCTAAGAAAAGTAGGTAACTTGCCTAAGGTCATGCAAACAAGGCATGGCAGAGTGGGATTCAGTTCTGATAATATTGCTCCAGAGGCTGTGATATTATTGTGCTATGCTGCTTAAACTCTTTTAAGAATCATTCCTAAAACAATAAAGAATTTATTTTTAAAATTTCCTCTGTATTGATTTCAATTCTTTACCTGCTAAAATGATATAATCAAATATCTCCTGAGATGTACTTTTTAAAATAAACCAAGTTAACCTAATTGTTTCTAACTGCCAGCAACAAAGTGAGAATATTATTTTCCTTTTTATTCCCTCTCTACCAGCACACAAATATATATAAAAATACAGGCAAAATTATAGTAATAAAAGCCCCACCATTGAATGCATTTTGATTCTTTTAAAGAGTTTTTAAAGGTAGCAGAATTACTAAATTTTTCCTCAAATGAAGAGCTAATCAAACCATCATGCAGACATTCAGATTACCTTGAGTCTTATGAAAACATAAATTACCCATAGAATATTGTACTTACCTTCTTGGGCATGTAAAATTTAAACGTGAGCATCCTGGACAGTTTGAGATTCTTGTCACTCTGAGAAGGCATAATACATTACAATTAAAAAAATGAACTCTGGCAAAAAAAAAAAGCTAAGTCATTTTAGTAAGAAAGAAAATGTACTTACATTAACTGCTTTCAAAAGCACCTGTAGGTCCAGCAGTACTTGCTCCAGTTGTCCTCGAGCTTCCTTCATAGGGGCTGAAGTAGGTGCACTGTTTATGACAAGTACGAGACCTAGTGCAATGCAAAGCAGGAGCTGTGTTTTGTACATTGTGGCAGGATTGAGGTTACTGTGAGTAGTGATTAGAGAGAGCAATAGGAAGCTCTTGAACAAGAGAACCAATTTATACCGTTAATTCTGGAAAAATAATATGGGGGTGTCAGAATGTTTTACATATTACACATCTTTTCAAAGGCTTTACCTGTGTAGCAGAAAGCATTACCTTTGTTTTTCCTCTTCTGATGACTCTTTGGAATTTCTTGAAACCCCCCAAAACTGACTGAATGGATGTAGGTGAAATCCCTCTTGGTTACATGAGCCCACACTTAGGTGGCAGTTTTAATTCATACAACTAAAAGCCTTTTGTATGAAACAGTTTTTCCTCCTTTCTTTCAGGGGGTGGAGATACAGAAGTAACTCAGGAAAATTTTCTCTTTGTCATAAAACTCTGCTGAACATCTAAGCAGCAGCTTGTGGTGGACAAAGGCAAGGGTAAATAGATGAAAAGAATAAATGTTTAGATTTGTTGATTAGACAGGAAGAATATTGGTTTCCTGTTTCAGGATGGTTTTACCTTCTTATCTACAAAATGAGCTAATTGTATACAATAGGATAGATCACTTCTTACAAAATCAGCTGTAGAAACGTTAAGATTAGGATACAGAAAATACTTGAGATATGAGATAGTATTTTATTGTGTTTTAAATTGAACATGTTTCTACATCTATTTAAATGTCTTAATGTCCCCATAGTATAATGTTCAACAAATATTTAAAAAAAGCTAGCATAAAAAGATACTCATCACAGCTTTATAGTAGACTTTATGTGTGCTACAAAAAAAAGCCAGTCCATCTAGTTGTTTTCACTTCTTCAGTACATTGGATTTATTCTCCAAAGCACCAGGGGAAATCTGATTGCAATAATAATAGTTGTCAAGTAAGACCAGGTAATTATTTTTTATTTGGTACTGTCTTGTTTACTTAGGACAAGTGTTTGCTATGATGATACAGGTATATACTTCTCTTTTAATCTGGGATGAAATAAGAATGTCTTCCACCCTACTTAGGAGGCTGAGAGCTGAGGATCACAATTCAAAGCCTGACCAGGCAGGAAAGTCTATGAGACTCTCTTCAATTAACTACCAAAAAAAGCTCTGGAAGTGAAGCTGTGGCTATAGTGGTAGAAGGTAGCCCTTAGCAAAAAAGCTGAGGGACAGTGCCCATATCCTAAATTCAAGCCTCAGGAATGGCACACACACACACACACACACACACACACACAGAGTCTTTCCCAGTGAGATTGCTTGTAACATCTCCATTTTTACCAGTTTATTCATTTCTATCCTAATTTTTTAATAGATAAGCATTTGGCATCTAAAATGCACTCAGATATATAAAAGAGTAGAAAAGGATGCAGTCTATGCCTTACAACAAAGTTAAGTTACGCAACAATAAAAAGTCAAGTTAGAATAAAGTTAAATTCATAAAAGTGAAATATAGCAATTTATTCTAGGTCTCTCAACCCTTACTGACAGTAAGGGACAGAATAGGGATTTGAAACCAAAATGCTCTAACACCAGAATTCACTATCCTAAACCTTGTGTTCTTTTCATCCTGATACTTAACAGAAATCATATGTATGTAGGCAGATATAACCTAGCTAGAACGTCTGATATTCACGATTATAATGCTAGTCACTTGGAGCTCCAAGGATCACATTTCAAAGCCAGCCCAGGCAGAAAAGTCTATGAGGCTCTTATCTGCAGTTAACCACACACAGACACACAAACACACACACAACCAGAAGTGGAGCTGTGGCTCAAGTGATAGAGCATCAGCTTTGAGCAAAAAGCCATGTGAGAATATGAGCCTTCAAGGACACAAACACACACACACACACACACATACACACACACAGAGCTAGAGAAAGTAGAAGAGTGGTTGCAAGAGGGAGGGATGTAGCTAAGCTCAGAGGCTTATGTCAGTAGTCCTAGAGAGGGGGTAAAATAATTTTGAGGAATAAACCATTATTTTAAAATGACTTTTAGGGGTGACATTGTATGCACTCATTACTTGACTTATGAAATGATAGCCCCTCTGTACATACCTTAATAACAAAATTATGTAATACTTTTTGAAAATAAGCAAGTGTATTTTATTATTTGAATGTAAATGCTTTTTGTGTTTTTAAATTATAAAGGCAATATACAAAGAGGTTATAGTTGCATAAGTTAGGTAAATTTCTTCTTGGACAATGCCATATTTTTAAAAATTTTATTGTTAAGATGTTGTACAGAGAGGTTACAGTTACATGAGTAAGGCAATGAGTACATTGCCTGTCCATCATTGTATCCCTTCCCTTCCTTGTTGTTGTCCCACTATCCTTTCCCTCCCCCATCTCCCACACTCCTCCCCCTTCATTTCCAATATACTATCCTGTGGGTATCCTTGTTGCAGTGGGTCATCCTGTGTCTTTGGTTTTGTTACCATGCCATATTTTTAAAAATAAATAAAAATGTCTTGGCAAATGGTGGGAAGGCAGGAAATATTCAACACTGTAAAGACCATTCAACTGCAGTCTAACAAAGAAAAGAGAAAATAATCCAGCAATGCTTCTCTGTACATTAGACAATATTCTAGAGAATCAAAAACACTTTCACAAATTTTAAAATAAGTGTGGCAGTTCCTCAAGTAGAAAAAACTGCAGGCAAATCAAAATTAGGGACAAATCTTAGGATCCTATTTTTTTTGAGGAGGGGGGATTGGTAATGGGGCTTGAACTCTGGGCCTGGGCGCTATCCCTCAGCTCTTTCATCTCAAGGCTAGCACTCTACCACTTGAGCCACAGCAACTCTTCCAGTTTTCTGATGGTTAATTGGAGATAGTCTCACTGATTTTCCTTCCCAGGCTGGCTTTGAACCATGATCCTCAGATCTCAGCCTCCTGAGCAGCTAGAATGATAGGCATGAGCCACTGGTGCCCCACTTCCTGACCTTTTTTTTAAAAAAATGACTGCAAAGGACTACAAAATTCAGAATTTCTCTCTATACCTTTCACATTGAAGCAACAGCATTGTTGGAAAGGTGAGGTTACTTGACAGACCTGAGTTACCTAGGGGCTTGTCCAAGAGCTTGACCTCAGGGCCTGAGCACTGTCACTGAATTTCTTTTGCTCAAGGCTAGCAATTCTATCACTTGACCTACAGTTCCACTTCTGGTTTTCTGGTGGTTAGTTGTAGATACATCTCATGGACTTTTCCTGTCTGGGCTGGCAATTCTCAGATCTCAACCTCCTGACTGACTAGGATTTACATGTGTGAGCTGCCAACACTCAGTAGTGTGTTGGCTCCATTACATGTGCTTCACTTCTCTCAAAACCTTTAGTGTCTTCTTCCATCCTCAATAGCTCACCCCTTTCCCCTTCTACAGTGTAAGGATTCAGGCCCACACTTTTCCTGTGTGTGGACTTTTCCAATATGGTCTTTGATGCACTCACAGTCTTGATACCTGTATTTCTCCAACTATTTCCATTAAAGATTGGGGTGATATATGGCCACACTTTCAGACCTTGAGCTCTTGGGCCCTAGTTTAGCCTACACTTACAGAACTGGTACTGTTACAGAAGTTAATCATATTACATCTTTCTTGAAATGTTCATCATGAAAGCTACCACCCAAGCTACCACTTGTGATTTTTAATATGTCTGACACATCGCTGGCTTTTCTGGCTGTCCTGGTGATATAATAAGTAGTAGACTCACCACCACATGTTCATACACCCACTTCTGTTTTTGTCATGCAAAGTTTTACTACACATGAAGTTTTTTAGTTGCCCAGCGTTGTTTATGACTCAGTTCTTTCAGTCTAGTAGCCCTAGTTCTACAAAGCTCACCCCTAGCCTCTGAAGTTGTTTACCAAAGAAATTAGTCAGTCAGCTGCACATATAGCCTGTGTTTCAAAACTGACTTTCAATGTGTTGATGGCTCACACCTATGCTTAGCTACTCATGAGGCTGAGATCTTGGTTTGAAATCAGCCAGGACAGGAAAGTCCATGAAAGTCCATGAGACTCCAATTAGCCCCTTTCTTCCCTCCCCCTCTCCTCTGTCTTTTCTTCTCCTCTCTCCTCCTTCCTCTCCCCCCCACCCCGTTTGTGGAAATGTGGCTTTAGTAGTGCACTACCCTTGAGCAAAAAACATCAAGAACAGTGCCTAGGCCCTGAGTTCAAGCCCCAGGATGGGCACAAAAACAAAAACAAAATCTGACTTTCAAGAATAGCACCTCACGACTTCCTCACAAAGCACCACCACCTCACAAGAATTTATTTTTTCTTTTTCTTTTTTAATTTTTTTGGAGTCCGGTTGTGGGGCCTGAACTCTGGGCCTGGGCACTGTCCCTCAACTCTTCAGCTCAAGGCTAGCGCTCTACCACTTGAGCCACAGCGCCACTTCCGGCTTTTTTCTTTTTGCTTATGTGGTGCTGAAGAATCAAACCCAGGGCCTCAGGCATGCAAGGCAAGCACTCTACCACTTAGCCAGCTTCCCAGCCCAAGAATTTCTTTTTTCTGATCTCCATCTTCATAGTTTTATTATGAAACCTTCATTTAGTCTGGAGTTTGAAGCTTATATTAGTGCATCTTTTGTCAGTTTCCCCAAAGACCTTTTGGCTTTTCATCTCAGGTTTAGTTGACTTTCTTTGAAGTTACAACATACAATTTGATGATCTCCAAATACAATCTAGAAAGTTCATTGTAAAAATTTGAGTTATCTGATTTATCTGATTTACAAATAATAACAAATCTCATTTATCTTGTTGCCCAGAATTATCAGACCTATGGTCTTCCATAATGTGTTAACTCTTCTGCATATCTGTCATGATCACAGTTTTCTTTAAGGCTAACATGGAAATAATGCACTAGAAATTGTCTGCACTGGCACCTAAGAGGCACTTTACCACTTGAATGTGATGAGAATAGGATTACCTTCAAAATCATTGGAAATGTACATTTTCAGCAAATATAAGATGTCCATGACAAGTCACCGAGCAATTACAGGAGGCAGAATG